GTATGATATTTTTTTCAGGTCAAAGTGAATTTTACGAACCTTTTTTACATCCATCTCCATTAAATGAAAGATGTTGAACCACGTCCTAATAGTCGTGGCATCTAATTTAGGATCACTGTGTAAATAGTCGCAGTTAATTCAGTTTCGTAATAACTTTCAAAGTTACAGTTCACTATTTTCAAAATATCGAAAGGACAATAATACGCAAACATGTACAGTGAATGCTCGCTTAAATTTCACAACTTTGGGTCCCAGCAATGGCATTTACCCGAACAGGAAAAAAAGGAGGAAGCTATTTGTTTCCAGGAATTGACTCGAGCACAGCCTGACAAAGGCAGAGAATCAATATAATGAACGGAAGCAAGATAGAAACGGTCCATCGAGCATCAAGGATGGACACGCGGGACTTCAAAGTGATGCCACACGTCAAATATAAACATGCAATGAAGAAAATTTCAATCGAAGTAATTTTAAACTTACCTTCTCAAATATAATGAATTTCTGAGATTGTTATGATTAAAATGATTCTAAACACGATGGAAATCGGACAAGTTTTACAGACTTAATATAATTAACGAAGAAAAAGGTTCATTTGCATCAAATCGATAAAATTAAACCGATTTACGTCGTGTTTGGACTCATTTTAATGAGAAGAATCTCAATAATCCATCGGCACTAAGATTGGGAAGGTAAGGTTAAACTTATTGCAATGGAATTTTTCTTCGTTACATGTTTATATTTGATGCGTGCGTTATTTTTTTACCTGTGTCTGGCTTTCTTCCCCTCATTGTATTCATTCTCTGTCCGTGTCTACTGGGATCATGTTACACTGAGCTCGAGACAGTGAGTAATGGGGGTAGACTAGGGACGGTGCAGTGCAATTAAACCGAGCAGATTTCTGTGAAGCTTAAGCGGGCTGTACTTCGTATACGACATAAAAATAATGAGGTTATTGTTACGAACCTTTGTATTTGTAAAATATTTATAAGACTACATTATCTCCTTCGAAGATGTTCCCAATAAAAGTTACACATCGTTGAAAAAGAATAATGTAGTTTTCTATATGTTTTTCAAATACATACCGAGTGTTGTAGCAACAGTTCATTATTTTTCTTAATAATAACTCGTTATTATGTAGTTTCTAACACGAAAGTAACGCATCATATATTGTTCATTAAAATCATCGGCATTTCCCATCAACAATTTCCGCCAGTGGATTATTTTCATTGAGTGTAGGTATGGAAAGAACAAATTTATGAACGAATCATGACTACGATTTAAAAAGATCATAAAGTACCTCGTAGATCTAGTGAAAATATCCTGAAGCATTTTATAGAATGCCAAGTATAACTGACAAATATGTAAAATGTTAAGTACAATTAATATATTAATCCTTTGCTGAATAATAATGTGGCAGACTCGCGTTGAAGAATTTAAATGGACTTTAACAAGGATAAATACTACTTAATTCTTTCGAATACAAGTTAAATATTATTCTTCTATTATCAATTATTATACTTTAGATGTAGAATATGCTTAGAATTTTTCTGTTTTTGTTTTAATTAATCATTAGTGACAAATTACGTGTGAGAGATAAATCATAGATGAGAGATAAATCTATTATACATGTATATAAATATTACACTTTTGTACAAAATGCATTCCCAAGTACTTTTTTAGAGAACGCAGTTTTGTAACTGGTATAGAAAAATGATATACAGAGATAATCTTTTTCTATCGAAAATGCTGTAAAATCAACTATGTTCATAAAAGGAGAAATACTTAAGTATATACGTAATTTACATAAATAATAATTAAATGTTGACACAACAGAATCCAATGCAAATGCAAATGTAATGTTTGGTTGCACTGTATGATGACCCAACTGATTTTCATATTGTTTGAGAGTGATTAACAGAAATATCTTTGATGTTTGACACATGTTTCACCGATAATGAAATGAAAATATGTAGGTGTAGTTTCGCGTTTCATGTTTACATTACATCTTTTTGATCAAGAATTTAAAGACTGTTTGATATGTACATATTATTCTAGTCCTATTTTACTGGCAGGTCCAGGGATTGAGACGGTTCCGAAAATAACTGTTTGAAAATGTTATATTATGGTTTCGACTGAAACAGTTATAGAGAACCGAAATGAAGTCATGACTGTTATTGGGTATATCGATTTCCATTTCGGATATTACATCAGTTTTATAACTGTTATTTTTTGATTTTGCACTTTGGTTTTGTACTTTGGTTCTACATTTCTTCCAGAGCCGAAAAATAACAGTTATAAAACCAATTTTAAAGAACCGGAATCAAATCTGATATAGCTCAGGTTCGATATATCCAATAACAGTTATGCCTCGATTTCGGTTCTCCACAATTGTTTCGAGAACCGGAACCGATTTTATAACTGTTTTCAGCCTCTGGGTAGGAAATCAATCCTTGTCAAATTTGATGAAAAAAACTGCAGGATATCTTGTATACTGACATACAAGTGACTTTAATTGCTTTGTTCAAATGTGAAAGACGAATACAAGTTGACTCTAGAAATGTTTCAATACTCGTTACGTGATCTATACAGGGTGTATCTAGTAACTGGTCCGAGCTATTATTATTCAAGATAAAAAATATTTTACCCCTGTAGACTCTTATTACATGGTTTAGCTCGCTAATTTCACCGATACGCTTCTATAAAGTGTTGTATCGCACTTGACCTTTGTTTGACATATTTGTTCGTATCACTGATATTTTTTTAGATAATTCGACGTTTTTAATTCGGTTTATGTCGGATTTTTGTATTCAAGCTAGTGAGTTATATACGGCCTATCATTTGTGCGTTACAATTTGGAAACACGCTGTATTTATATATATATACATAAACAATGATTGTAAACAAAAACAATTATAATTATAAACTGAACATATTTGTTTAATCCCTGAATTTTACTGAATTTTAACGTTACATTTTATCATACTGTTCTATACTATTACGAACATAACTATTTTAATGGTCACTCTAATTACCTTAGTTTCATGTCTTTTTCTAATTTTCAGTAAGTCGAAAATGTAGAAATTATTCAGAAGGTATAAACATGTAAAAGAAATCGTACTTTATTATAGTTATTTCCTGATATTTTGAAATGGAGAATGACAGTGATGGAATCATAATGCTGCATTAGCATAACATTCCAGTCATTACTGTTTGATTTTTACAAGTCTGGTTCAGTGGCTAAGTGTCAAAGTAACAAGTCAAAGACATAGTAACAAATCCATCAAGTATTATACATTATCAGATTCCAATTTCAGACTTTTGTCCATACTATTTACTAACACTAAAACTACCAAACGGGTCACAATGACCCATTATTGATTTCCTCTTTTTATAATTATTAAAGAGATAACAGATGTTTCACTGAGTAATTACTAAAGAAATTTATTTAGCAATACACAAACTGCATTGTGAATCAACTAAAGTTCCAATAGATGCAATCTTGGAGTTTCTGTAGAAGAATTTCAAGAAGTGAATTTAACAGGAATATTTACTTCTGGTCGGCTCTAAGGAAAGCAATAGTAGTCTTTCCAAAATCTTTCTGGAAAAACATTTATGGAAAAATATAGTGTTGCATTTAATATAATTTCCTTAACGTATTGCATAGAGTAAACTAGTACTATTACTACCTTAGTTATTCAAAAAATTATAATATCAGAAAAACATTGATCATGTAAAAATACAATTTTTGGCCTGGACTATTGTGAGATGAAAATATTTCTTCTAAATCATAGTTTAAGAGGTACACAGTGCTATTTCTCCAATGGAGAATCTCCATATCCACTGCATGTAAATATCTATAAATAAATATAAATAACCATTTAAAGTTGTAGAGATATAAGGCGACTTTTATACCTTCGTAAGCAATTCTACCCACAGAAAAGTACTATTGTCACACAATCATCCTCTTCTAAACAGTTTTTTATGTACAAAAACCATACTTCTATCTATTATAGTTTTCTGAGATATTAAGATACTGATTACTCTACTCTATCTTTATGTTATTCGAGATTAGACTATGTCTATCTCTATGTATTTTAAAACGTCGGCAAGGTATAGATGGTATAGTACTATAATAGTTGATTCGGCAATTATTTACAGCACTGATACCTCACCGAATTGTATGACCTTGAAATGTGTTGGTAAGGTCATTATTTTGAACAACTGTTCTCCATATACATTATTATCGCGCGGTCTTAGTTTTCTAGACATTCGTAAAAATATGTTCGGGAATGGAGAGTTTTTGTACTTATTTACAAAAATAGTAACCCTTGTGTGCCTTTGATCTTGATATATATTATTAAGGTCATAACTTTTGAACTTACACTTTCTGTTAAATAGTTTACATTCCTGGGTGTATGGAATAATGACCTTAACAACATGTATCAAGATCAAGGTCATACGAGGGTTAGTCTTTTCGTAAATAAGTACGAAAATTTCCCATTCCCGGACATCTTTTTGCAAATATCTGGAAAACTAATGTTGAGCAGCGGTAAAATGCATAGGAAAAAGTTTTTCAGAATGATGCCTTGCCAGCATATTTCAGGGTCGCCCAAATCCGTGAGGAATCAATGTTGTAAATAGTTTTTTTACTATTTACAATAGTAATAGACAATAGTAATAGTCATTACTACTGATTCATACATGTGACGCGCGTCTTATGATCGTTACTGTTCAAGCATTTTATAGGAGAAATTAAATTTAAGTAAAAGTATTTGAAACTATATGTCTGTTTCATATCAATCTACAGGTGCTTGTCAAACAGTCTACGGGTGTGAATCATCAATAATCCTAAACAAATTGTAAAACTTAAACTACTTCATTAAATAATATCGATTGTGTTTCACTATACTATCGTATGTGGGGTTCATATGAAACAAACGTAATTCGTGTCACTACAAGGAACTCACAATTCGTAAAGAACTTGATAAAGTGTTATGTACCTGTCATTGTGTTTCCTGTGCGGCAGTAGAAGTGAAAATATTGGTTAATATTACGTTTCGTTTAAAAATTGCCACGAACAAACTATTGTTAATTACGAAAGAGTTCAAAATGTCCATTTCTAATTTACTTATGATTAGTGTCGTGTTCATTCCCGATGTTTCGTTGCTTAAATCAGACTACTGTGATGGTGATCAAAACAAATTGTATACGAGAGTCTAAAGGAGACTTCGAATGTTAGCTGTTGGGTACATAACAATTAGTTTCGTGGAATAATCGTTTTTCTGATATAAATTAGTTTCATTTTAAATTTAACGTTATATTATTAATTAGTATATTATAATAATAGATTTATTATATTAATAAAATGTTAAAAATTTGAATGATAAAAAGGAAAGTTGCAAATTAATTTTAATAACATACTAGTACATCGTGTATCTACTTAACAAATAATATCGAAATAAATTACTTAGTTGTCAAGCATGAGTAATTACAAAATTGGACTTGTAAAGTGTTCACATAACTTCTTTTTAAATCAATTAAATTTAAAGACAGAAGTTAATATTATATAATAGGGAACGTAAGTAATACAATAATATAATAAATATAAATTATAAAATCATATAGAAAAATATATATTAAAATTATAAAATTAATATTAAAGCTAAAAATTAAATACAACTTTTCCAAAATTCACTATGTAATTTCTGGATACGTAAGATATCTCACAATATGTTTATGTAAACACGATTGTATAAGTGTCTTATGGTATACCATTTAAAAGTAATTAAGAACATTCAAATAATACAAATATATGTTGCTAAACATAAATGACAGTTTGCGTTACAGAAAAAGATGTAAAATATGCTCAAGAGTATTGTTTGAATCTTAGCTTTCAACTAAAATGTAATCTAATCAAAACATTGTTTTGCCTGTTTTCAACGTTAATAGAATACTAAACAATTAAACCATTACAAAGTTGCGAAATATAATTTAGTACATCAGTGTTTAGTGTTCCTAATCTAGTGCTAATATTTTACTGTCCATGTCTTCTGTTCAAGTGTCCTTCAGACTCCGTATTTCAATAAATTATTAAACTTCCAAACAATTTAATTAATATCCCTGTGCCTGGTGCAGTTGCTCTTTCATCTCGAGATAAACAAAACAATATTGAGAAAAGCGCTGCAGCATACTGTTTTATCATGCATACCATGAAGATATATTTTCAGAATGGCTAAAAATTGCACGGCTAAATAAGAAGTTAATACATAAGCTTTGTAATTGTCTCATTACATTTAACAACTTTTTAAAAAGCAATTAATTACATAGCAGACTTTAAACGGTGAATAAAAATTGTAAAAATGCATTCGTTTTTCAGTAATGGAAGGTAAAAATTCAATTTGAGTAAATAACAATTTAACCTAATCATTCTCTAAAACAATTTGAGCTTGAAGTATTCGTAATATACATAAAAAATTAGAACACATATTTTATTATAAGTGAAACATCTTTGTATACGTCTATGATTCCACTTTCTGAAGTAGTATAAGTTGCAAATACACCTACGTTATATTTACGATATATTCTAGCCTAGCGAGCAAAATTAAGTGGAAAAAATATAACCTAGAAATTATACCATTTAAAATTAAAACCATGAAAGTTTATGTATTATGTTAGACAGTTAGGTGAACTTACAACCAAGTATTTATATACCATAAGAAGCATAATACAGGGTGTTCCGTGTTTGATGATACAACCGAAAGTAGTGCATACTTTTGTTCAAAATTTCATTTTCAAGAAAATCAAATGTGAATATTCATTGGACATATTGTTTACTATTATCAAATACTGATAACAGGATATCGCTGTATGATCAGTCTATAATTTCTCTTTATAATTTTTGTCGACGCCATTTATAATCGTTTTACTATCCATATTATATTCTGAGATAGGTAGTCAAAAGATTGAATCGCGATTAGGTAAGGACAGTGATAAAGGAAGGAAGAGAAGAAAAGAGTGTCTAGTAGAAACTAACGCAATGAGTGAATCTATTTCACTTTTTGTATGATATAAACACATGAATATATCGCACAAAAAGTGAATAAGATTCTAACCTACTGTTTGAAATTTTAAATAAATTAAAAATTGTATTATTATAAATATACATTAATATAGATTAGATCAATAAATTTATAAAAATAAATAGAATTAATTAAAAAAAATACTTCTCATGAAATTAAAATAATTAAATGCATCACAGAATGTTTCAATGTGTATAGGGTCTTACTCGGGGAATTAGAATTTCGAGACTCTGCAGGATCTCGTGGGAAGAATTTCGCCTTTACCCATTTACACCAATTTTATTTGTTAATTCTTGTGAGCAGAGTGAAAGATTTTAAAACCATCTGGAGTATGTAATGTAATAAGACTACCCGCATGTATAACACATCATTGGCTATTTTGGAACTAAAACATCTCAACATGTGTAATATGTTATTCCACCGCAAGAAGTTAAGAAAGGATAAAACAAAATCGAACACTTTTCAGTGAAACGTTCACAGAAATATGTTCAATGGCTTCTATAAGTCTGTTGTTATTCTCAGCAAGCTTAAATAAAAACAAAACGAAACTTGTTATGAATTTATAGTAAATTTTCATTAGAAATAAATAACATCATTATCAAAGTAAAAATTTGTATACTTTAGCACAAATAAAATGATTAATTACAATATGAAACAATTTTGACAAAATTTCAAAACTTTCTGTACGTAAGGTATCATTTGGGTTTGTGTTTGAAGCAGATGGTGTCACTTCTTCTTTTCCTGGTTATAATAATATTAAAATTATGGTAATCTTGTCTTGTGACATGCGGAAGAAAAGATTGTTCAATAAATTTCAATCAAGAAAAATCAAACAGTGAATATTTTCATAATTATAATTTTTATTGATTAGAATCTTCCTCTTTCATTTTATGAGTACTATTTGCGTTTAAAATATTTAACTCTTTTGTCACTCGTAATAAGCGACTCATAATAAGCTATTATTGGGTGCCAAAGTTCATCAAATGAGTAAATACTTTTATTATAGAAGACACCCTTATACTCTCACAACCAAGTAATTCTACTGATATGAATCGTATTGATATTAATTGATTAATATTAATCATATGTGCTTATATATGCATCACCAGCCGCTGTAATATCTATTTTAACCAGGTAATTGCTTTTGTTTGACGTTACACACGTCATCTTAAAGCTTGAAATGATACCAATTCTTTCCAGTATGAATTCCTTATTTTCTTCAGATAAATATGTAATTCTTTTTTTATTTGCTTTGGTTTTTCATTGAAATATATCCTAGGTGCATTCGTCCAGTGTTAGACGAGTACACAGTTCATTTTTTCATTTCATTGCGCGCAAAACGAGAGATTTTTCAAACTAATTTCCACAGTTAACAGGTTAAAGGAAAAAAGTTTGGAATATTTGGCACGATTACCCACAAGTTAAGGACGTGATAAAACTGCGTATACAGAATGTATCAGAAAGAATGCACGCCGTAATCAAAACAGTGTACACGTATCTATATAAGATGTATGTATGTACTTTACTAATTAACAAAAATTGTTATTAAATTACGTTCAGACGTTTAATATATTGTCTGCTAAATATAACTAACAGGAATTTTTCATACTGATGCAATGCATTTGACGAAATATAAAGTCACATGTTACAATCCATCACAGCTATTATATTCTTCACTATTTAACACCTTTTTAATTTTAACAAAATTTGATTAATTCAATAAATTTCTATGAAAGTCAAATATTGAATTTGTGATTAACATGTTAAAATTGACTAAAAACATAAATAATATTGGAAACTGTGAGTGGTTATAATTTATTGGTCGTAGGTTAGACACTTACGATTTGTCATTACCTTTCTTTTCGATTGCAATACGACTCACGGTACACCCTGCACACATATTCATTTAATTTAATTGCGAATTTATATAAAGAATAATGTTGTTAAATGTAAGTATTAAATAATTAGTATATACCAATGTATATACTATTCATTAATGTAAATATACACGTTTTCTTTATACTACTTTCAATACGTCCGTAAACGTTCTTGACACGTTCACCTGATTACTTATATTTTTATTCCTTTGTTGCATTCAAATTCGTGCACTGAGTTATAGTTAATCGAATATTATATTAGAAATGCTCCATAATATTAAGCTACATTTATCAGTACGATATTAAAGTAATGAGTCTTAATGCCAATATAAAACTTGCACTTGCACTCTGTGTTTTAAATAAGAAATCAAACATCGTGTTAACGTCACGGTAAATTACTCACCTATCGTTATTTTGTGATGAAACATGTAGTTTTGTGATGAAACATCTGCAACGAATATTTGTTGAAAGCAGTGTTTCATGAGATCAGTATATTAGTGTAAACAGAATATCACATTCTTCGAATTAACCATTATAAATAATACAAAAAATAATTGCTTTCAAACAAAAATTCATGAAAGCTAATTAAAACTGCACTTCTTTATATCTTTATGGTTTGCTTATCGAAACTATAATATATTACTTTACGTTAGACAAACAGCAATAACTGTAAAGTAAATTTCATTGTATATCAGAAATAAGGCTTGACATTTGGCTTTTTAAGACCTGGCAAATCACAGCGATGTGTTTCGTTGAAATATATGATCGAATCGAGTTCTCACAAAGACGATACAGTAACAAATGTGCTTTCACAATACAAATAGTGTAACTTATAGCACAAATATATGATAATAAATTTCTCAAATCGCAAAAATAATTTTTATATTAAATAAATCCAGAATCAATACGTGTTTCGTGTTCCCTAAATTTTAACTTCTAGAAGATATTTAAATATTTAAAAGTAGATTTCCTTTGGTTTTTATTTTTGGTACGCTGATATATTGACCTAGACAATGAATATGCACGTGATATTCAACAGATTGATCACATATAGTATATGCACAGAATATGATAAAAAGTATTAATATCAAGGAAACGCACCTGGCATCCGTTGGTTTATATGTGACGTCGTACTTCTCGACTTGATCAACTTGACTTGTGCTCCAAGAAACGCGGACAGATGTCGGATTCAGGAACATCACAGTAATGTTTTCGGGAACGCCAGGAATACCTGTCACCGAACCTGGAAACCCAAATATGAAAAAATTACTATATGCAAAAGCTAATATATGTTAACCAAGAAAAAATATTACTTAATTCTAGTATTATACATTTAGTATAATGAAACATTACATGTTTAAAAAGTAAAATATCAAAAATAATTGACCTCTGTTATGCAAACTAACAATTCTTGAGTTATGACTTAAAAACTATTTAAACTTCATTGACTCTTTAAGGATGTTTGACAACAATACTCGCTGTGAAAAAGTGAACAATTTTTAATCTTGGAAATTTTTAATAAAACTTGCAAGATATACTTCTTTTGTTAGAATAAATTAATTAAATGGAGAATTCGTATGTAGTTCTCTTGAGGCGAATAACCGTTGACGGTGGAATATCATTTAAAAATTCTTGATTTGAATGTGTAATTGAAAACATGCGATAACGAATACACTTGTCGAACATCATTAAAGAATTGAAAATTAACACGGTGCGTACCGACTAATTTTAAGAAAACTGGACTGAGTGACTGGCAATTCTCAATGACATTAACTTACATCACTAAATGTAGGAAAATACAGTATTTTATTGTTATTTAATATATATTAAACAAATAATCGATTCTGATAAAATTTTCTACTTTCATAATCATGCAACAATTAGTACAGCTTCATACGTAGGTATTTCTATAAAAACGAGATTTTCCGTTTTCGGTACGCAATGTGTTAACATAACGTTAAAGTGTTGGTATGGAATATTTTTCGTTTCAAATGAGCTGATTATTTTTGTTGAAAATACATCAATTTGAATAGCATTGTGGAATATAATTTATAATGAGGGATTCTAGTAACTCGTATGTATTTTATTTATTAAATCGCGTAATGTAAAACGTAAGACTTTTTATAGGAAGCTGGTTCTCAAATTCAGACAAACATTGTTTTATCCCACTGTTCGTGAGATGGTTTCCGATGAGTTTGCGACAAACTCCAACTTCTTCTACAGGAAATGAAAGTTCGAGAGGGATCAATTTCAGTGCTTGGAGCTGTTCATCGTAAAAGTACGTCATAAGGATAAACGGTTTTCCGCGGGACTTGTTCTTTAAATTTTCCTCTTCATAAGGAAAGTTTTCGAATTATTTTTGTGTGGTTCACTTATTAGTGGTATATTATCAAAGCTGCTGACAATATTATAAGGAATGTGAGCCGTACTATCACTTAACGCATACATTTTAACGTAAATTCACGTGAGCGCATCGAAAAATATTCCGTACACTTTTTGTAGTTGCCAATACTCATATTTACGGAATTAAATTAAACAAATATTTTTTTTATTTCATAAATGTAATTCATTTCGACTGCAAATATATAACAGTAAACTACATATTAAAATAATAAACAGATTTTTCCTCAAATTTATCAAATTATTTACAAGTGAAAATAAAATTAACAGTTAAAGAACATTATATCCTCATTGATTACAAATAATTCGAGAGAAAAAATTTGCTTTTTGTTTATATAGTTTATATTCATACAATATTATCCTAATGTTAAAATAATTTAACATAAGATAATATAGCTATATAATGACTATATTATAGCTACATTCAAATATTATTTACTTTCTCGTATAACTCAACTGGCAACTCTGAGAGTAAAGTAGACATGTTTACACGACACATTTCCAACCAAAAATATTTATTCATTTGAAAATATTACTACATATATACAGATAAGGGTACTAAATATTTAAAGTAACATTTAATAATAAATATTTAATAACACATGTAAATACAAATTCGAACAGCTACAAAAACGATACGGATTGAATATTATTCAATGCTATATATGTATGTATATTAATTCTTTGCGCGTTCCTATCGAGTGATACCACCTATCGGATTGATATCTTATTTTCGTAAACAACATTATTATATAAATTTCTTACGATAATTGTAGCTAGCCAAGAAATAAAAGAAGAATAATCCTAATTGGTATAAACTGTATAAATTAAACTAATACGAAAAATCAACCAGTGGCTTGAACAATCAGTTTGCTCATTATTATTCAGTATTAGAACGTGACATCATATATCATAACATAATATTAAGTGATCTTTTTTATAAACTTCGTTTCCTACATGTTACATCTACGGTTAATTATGTTTCATTAAATATTCGTTTCAGTGTAAGATACACAACATTTTTGCGTTAGATGTACAGAGCGTTGGACTATATGTAATGGACATTTTAAGGAATGATTAACGCAAAAACAAAACGAAAATCAATAGTAACAAAATTGCAGTTTCCTTATTAACTTTTCAAGTTATTGATAATTAAAATATACCAACAGTGGCGTGTCAGTTGAACCTCTTAGTTGCTTGCACGATGCGAAACTTCATGCTTGTGTTAACCTATCTCACGCGCGCTACTACTAGTATACCGTTACATTTCAAAGGAACTTTTAATTATCAGTAACTTGAAAATTATGTCGGGACCAGAATACCGCCCTTCCTGATTTACGTCCAGATCAGTGTTTCACAAAGAGCGTGCCACAACATTTTCCAAGTATACTGCAAAATCATAAAAAAAACTAACGTTGCTTTTATTATAACTGATCCGTTGCGGTCTGAATTAATTTTTCCTATTCTTTTATCAATTCATTATATACTTAAGAATTTTATTTCAGTTTTAACAAAGTTATAAGCAAGATGAAGTATAAAATAAGCTGAAAAACAATTAAAGAGCCTTATTGATTGCTTTTAATATAAATTAATTAATTGTTATGCAAAAATAATTAAAATAGTTATAATTCTTAAATTTAAAAACCATGTCAAGCCACAGTCGACGTTGGACCTGCTGCACGGAAATGTTATTTAAAACAATAAGTAAATAGTTTACGTATTTCATAAAAGGTTTGAAACTGTGGACAATGTTGTTCAACTATACGTTATCGGTGAGGAGTTAAAACTAGATTTCCGAGACAATATGTAGCTTACCGACAAAACTAGCTCCTTGGAGGAATAGTATAGTGGCCCAAAGGACCATGCCGCCAAAATGGCGGGCCAAGGATGGACCGCGTATTGTTCCACACACGTGCTTATTTCCACTTGTGTTCTCTCTCAGAGATGTGCGCTTTGGTAATTCGCGTACCACTTGAATGTATTGTGTGCATGCACCTTTCTTAAGGTTGTGGCTCATCTAGCCTCCTTTGCCGTGCTGCATTCTTCTCCTTTCATTGAGCCATAACCACTGTAACAAAAAGGAAAGACATGAACTGTAGCAAATTATATATTACAAATATTTCATTAAATTACTTTTTTAAAAATATTCTTTAAGTATTAACCAATAAATACATTTCAGAAAGTTGGTTATTGTTCAAGTTGTTTCGAATAAATATATACTTATTTATAATAAAATGAATAATCGAATAAATTCATGCTATTTAAATAATTTTTAATTAGTAGGTATACACTGTAACACTTCATGAAATTAAATACACAAGGTGTTTACGGATTTACATTCCAGTATGTTTCTTGTACGCGGTAGATATTAAGAAAGAATGGAAGACGAGCAAGTTGTACTGCTTTTTTATGAGCATCGTAATAGTGCATAGAAATTTTGTCTATTCACGCTATTTTTTTGGAAACTGAAGGTAACCTTCAACGTCTCAAATAGAATGCTATATATTTTTATTACATTGCATGGAAACGCGTATCAAGATAAATTTAACGACGTACAACGCAAGACGTTTAGACTTACATAAGTTTAGAAGTGAAAGAAATATTTCGCGTTTTGCATGTTAATATGATTATTGGTATTTTTTCTTGAGATGTTTATATTTCATGATTAATATGATTTTGTATACTGGTGATGATTTTATGTCATGAGTAACATTACAAAATTATTCCAGTATTACTTAGCAAAGCTTGTGTTAACACTATATCCCAATAGATCGTTGTTCGAGGAATGAAACAGACATGGTAAGTATTTATTACGACCGCAATAAAAATAAGAAACATTGCAGGTTAACCCTTTGACTATGACGTACACCCAAACCGGTGCAACTTTTCAAGCATTATTTTAAGCGCCTATAAGCGCCTACAGTACCATAAGAACAATATTTTTAAGCGCCTTTAGGCGTCTACAGTATCACAAGCACAAGTTTTCTCAGCGCATTTAGGCGGCAACAGTAATCAAAGAGTTAAAGTACTTAGAAGAATACCTAAATAGAATGTTGCTGAGCGAAAACCAATTTTGTCTTGGTAGCAAAACGTTTTAATGAATCAGTACTATGGAAAATAGGAAACACAATTTTACAAAATCTTTACCTGAAAAAGTAGAATTAGAAGTTCTAGTGTATTTCTAGTCAATCCGTAAAATATCTGTTTGTGATATTTCAACTGAGGCTAGGGCTACAAGAAAGTAACGTTCCACAATGCATAATATTTTATAATTGATTGCTTACGACTAATGACTGTAATTTCTATAAAAAGGTTTTAATGTAAACTCTGACGTATCTGAGTATGGGATAATTGATAATGCGTTACAAGTGGCTCATTTTTATAATGGAACATTGATTTGAGCTAGGTATTTAAAGTTTTTGAATACACAATTTCGAAATAACTGGAAAATATTGATACTAAGCACTGTTCAAGAATTTTACATTGAATAAAATAGTACTTCGCTCCAAAATTGTAGAGCAATGACATATGTATCGAACATGATGTTTCCAAATAAATAAAATGGAACATAAGGATCTGTGAAATGGCCGTTTAGGTCTCAGATCTGTTTCCTTTGGATATTTTTTATGAGACACTATGAAAAATATCGTTTACGATATATTACTTTTCAATGGTATTAATTGAAAAATAGAAATAACACACGCCTGTGCGTCGATATTACAAACACAAGTAATAGAAACCAAAAAAGTGTATTTCTAAAGCACAAAAGCGTATTCTTGCGAACAGAAGTCATATTGATCATGAATTGTAAATATCTCAAGAAGAAATACTAGCAAGCACATCAACATACAATATTCGAAATATTTCTTAAATTCTTAATTTTGTGTGAGCTTGAACGTCATTACGCTGTATATCGTTTTTATCTTGATACATGCTTCCATGCAATGCAATAAAAAATATAACATTCTATTTGAAAAATTGGAAGTTACATTCAATTTTCAAAAAATAGCGTGAATGGAAAAAATTTCTTAGAAATAAAAAGTACAACTTCCTCGTTTTCCATTCCTCCCTAATATCTACTATTTATGAGGAAAACACTGGGCAGTAATTTCACGAACACCATGTTTGCTGTAGGTATTTATCTATAGTAGGTAACAGTTTAATACAATATAATGCAATAGTCAAACACTTTAAATTACGAATTAATAATTGTTCAAGTTAATTTTTACTTGTTAACTACTTATTGAACATTACCAAACACCATTTGATTAAAATAAAATTTCTTTCGTTTTGTAGTTTAATTATTAAAATGTGAAAGTTTATGCAATATCTATTCAGGGTAGGAATGCTAAACTTTATTAAGAGGGAACATGTATATGGAACGATATTTATTCAATTAATAATAAACTAAAACTTTATTATGTTGTTATTCATAGTTTTGTTTTGTTGTTATTGAATCATTTTTAATTTTGTTATTCCTTATTTTGAAGAAAATGTCTATCAACCAACACAGACATCCACTAGTTTACAACTCACATTTATTTGTTATCTATACCTTAACGGATTTTATAAACGTCGAATATATCTGCATACAAATTTCGATAGTGATACGTTAGTACTTTTATGCTCACGATATCAAAGAAAACTGATTTATGTGAAATGAATGTAATGCCATCGAGATAAACGCGAATATTCTGGTTGAATGCCAATGGAGTCCATTCAGTTTAAAAAAAGAAATCAATATTTATTGCAAGTGCGTCGGTGCACCTTATGAAGACTCGCGCAACTACAAGAAAATGAGTTTTCCATAAACAGCAGAGTATACATATTTCCCTTTAGAATCCTGCATTTTCATTAAAACCATTATATAGTGTCTAGAGTAAATTGAAAAATTGCCAGTAAATTGATGATATTTTAAGTTGTATCTATTATATAACGTCAAATATTATTTTCAAGAAATATGTTTTTGTAATTACTTGTATACTCGTTTCAATTCTTAAATCTGTGCCTGTTATAAACTAAGCCATTTATTTGTAAATGTAAATATTACGTTTCATTCCATAGAATGTAAAATATTCTAAAAATTTAATAAACTCACATTGGTAAGTAAAGAATCAATTGAATGTGTTAACACTAAAATTTAAGAATATTAAAAAACTTTAGTTAAATCACTTCTACCTATGAATGATTCAATTATTCAAGTGAGTTTCGAAATGTAACTTGTAAATAAGGATATTGCATTATTTCAATAAGTGCAAAAAATGTTGCGACTTGGTTAGTATTACGTTTGTCTTATTTTAATTTCATAGTAAACGGATCACATGGAAATATTTACAATCTGCATTCATTACATTGCCGAAAATAAGAGCTTAACCCTTTCAAGGCTAATATCGCCATATTAGCAATATCAAACTTTCATATCTGGAATAGAAAATTGCAAGTAAATAATTTAATTATTCAAAGAACAAACGATTGGTACCTACTGCTTTCCTTTACTTTTAGTATTCAAAATTGTAATGCATAATTCAGTTTCCCCTTTGGTAATGGTTTTAATTACGTTAAAACGTCTTTGTTTGCAAAGAGTTAATATTGTATCTTTTAATAACAATTTAACGGTGATATAATGCATTTAGTTCTTTTGAAGATATAGGTATTAATATCTATCTTCATAAAAAGAATTTAGTATATTCGGTTCGTAATACAATTGGTCATTCTGTTACGTGTTAAGGGCAATAAATATTAGTACTTTAATACAGTTGTCATTCCATTTTGTAAAACCAATAATTTCTTCAAATTCAGTGGTGCTGATTTAATGATGAGCCTTGATTCGTTAACAAATTGAAAATTATATACGTATACATGTATATATATTTGAATGACAATTAGGTATATATATATATACCTACTACATATACCTATTTCATTTCACTGAAATTTTATTTGTTGATCAAAACAATTGAATGATATTATTATTAATTAATTGTAGTCATCCGTAGTCGAATGACCATCAAACTATCGAAAAGATTTGACATAAAAGATTCAATTCGTATACTTGATTACGAATTAAAAGAAATTTCTATTTTGATGGACCGTCTTAATATATTTGTAAGTTTTGAGAATTAATTGTAAGAAATGGAAAATGTTACAGCATTAATTTTACTGTGTTATAAATATTTTAAGTAGGTACCCATACAAAATTATAGTATTGTGTAGTACCAGGAATATTGTAGAAATTGTAGTGGGCTTTACACAATTTATGCAGCAGAAATTGTTCCAGGAATACCAACATAAGTTTTATAAATTTCGTATTTTGAAAACACATTAACTGCATAACAGACATTCATTATAATATTCAAATAAAACTATTTATTTTCGAGATCATTTCGAATATTCAATGCTTTTAAGATATCAATAATTGCGAAACAAAAAAATCAAAACCAGTCATTTTAACTGATACGGTAGTTCTAGTGTTAAGGATTTAAGAATGGGGAGAGACGATAATATATACAAGTACGTTTTCAGTATGTGCGTGAAGATACAGATCAATTACGAACAATTTCTGAGATAAATACCCGTGTTACTACCCTGAGAATGTCCTTTTCAAAGAAAACGCAGTAAGAAACTTATATCATCAATTACATTTCTTTCATACTTTCTATCGTCAAGACCGTTTTTCTCTCTTGGTATTTAATCTCTTTGGTCGTCCACCGTGTAATATCTACCAACTGATGATTAGAAGTAACGTAGCATGAAAGATCGATAATAACAATATAACACATGTTTTCAGTGACGTATTATCAATTTGTACAACATTATTTATCTGTTTTTACGAAGTTTTTACGAAGTAAATAAAATAAGAATTATAAAATTACGTTAAAATTCTGATAAAACTGTAATAATCTTTAGGTAAAATAATTTCGATAAATACATAGATGAGCACGCATCTCACTGATTTTTATGATTTTTAAACATATTGTAAAAATCTACATTTTGAACAACTTCTTCCTATATGGCAGCGACCACAGGTTTAAAAGTGTACAAATCACTTAAGCTTTATAGGTCGTCGCT